TTTTTCTGAATATTACCAAGGCAATTGTTAATAATTGCATACTGGGAGCTCTGCTGGCGTAGTACGTAAGGCATTTGAGTGCTAACCAGAAAGCTGGTGGTTCAAACCTACCTCAGAACGTAGACTGGGCAATCTACTTCTACAGACATACTGCCTAGGAAACCCAAGGATGGGTCACTATGAGGCACAATCGACTCGACAGCAGTGAGTTTGTTTTCATTTTAATTGTTTAACTACAACAGTAATTCCCAAACTCAGTTTTGGGCAATCATAGAGTATCAGTATTAAGTGAAAGGCAGACAATTGTCAAATCAAAATGAATTAATATCACTTTAAATTCTTTCATAGAGCTATATTTTTCTTAGAGTGCTTTTTTGAAGTTCGATTAAGCAAATAAGGATACAAGTTGAGTGATCACTGTCATGTATCTAGTCTGGGTAGCTATGAACCATTGGTTCATAGTAGACATATAAAGGAAATACTTATATAGAACAAGTATTCCCCACACTTATGAACTAATGTTCATATTCATAGACACAGAAGATGTGTGAATGTTACTTAACATGTTTAAACTATTTTATGCTTTAAATTCCCATAAATAGAAAAATAAACTCTCAACTTGTCAGCCTCATAATACTGTTAAAGGCAATGAAATCTGTAATAAAGTACTTGTATGTCCTAAGAGCTATAAAATATAACATATCAATATTAATAACTATGCTACTGTCATTAATTTTATTAGAAAATTACTCCAAAGAAGTAAAAGTAAATTACATGGTAGTTAAGTAAATATCCAAACCACATTTTAAATACATGAATTACAAAGAAGTATGTAAAAGAAATATAATTATTATTTAAAATGAAAATTTGAAAGAGCTTTTTTAAAAATCACTCAGTTTATAATTTTCATAAGACAAGTTTCATTTGTGATTTAATTGATTAAATGATATTTGTGGATGCAATCATTTCCAGCTTTACACATTTAGGATTTCCTACCTCCTCCCCCCAGAAGGAAGAAAAACTAAAAGTTACTAATCTAGAATTAGAAATATGTTATTAAGACTGTTCAACAATAATGGATGTTTATAGTTTCCCATATCTCACACTCACAGAATTAATTCATAAACTTATTAGAAACATCTACTAATGGTGAAGGGACCCATCGAACCCTCAATAGAAGATGTAGAGGTCAAGGGGCCTCAAAACAGTTTTATTCTTAATTTTTGCAAGTAACAAATTATACAACTTTTAGTAGAAATATATATTACTTCCTTCATTTCAAAATGATTAA